ACCTTAGGTGTATGTGGCTGGCGCCTTAGCTGCTTGAGCCACAGGCGCCGAGCCCATGTATCATTTTCGTTCTGGCTTACAATCCAATAATACATCATTTATTTTGATGCTCATACTGTCCCAGATTTGACCACCAGGAACTTTCTCAGGCTTCCTCCTGCTACAGTGCTCATAGACAATCTCATCTTGCCAGTGCCAACAAATGGCTTTCCTAGGGTAGAAGATTGAGTTGAGCTTCTGAGAGGCTAAGCAGACAAAGTGTCACCTCTGGTTGACCTGGAACCCCACAGAGCTCTGGCCCACAGTGGCCTGTAGGGATGTGGACACCTCAGGGGGTTCTGCTGATGTTACTGGATGGGCTGTGTAGGTCCAGCCCCTTTTGGTCTGTCTTTATTGATGGAGAAGGGTGAGACAACCAGGAGAAGGGACAGTGCTGGAGCCATGAGGAGTCAAGAAGGGGCCCAGGGATTGGCTCCCTATAAGGTGAGAGGGAAGCTGGTGGCATTACCAGACCCTGAGGAAGAAAACACGTGGCCACAAGTCTTGGCACTTCCCTGGTATAGAGTGACTCAGAGGCCAAAGATGTACCCATCTGTCCTTGGGGCCCGATCAAGAGATGGCAGCTGTTAAGATATTCAAGGGGCCCCTGTCAATCCTGGATCCCTAGTCTTATCCCAGGTCTTTAACTCAGGCAAAAGTCAGTTTTCTAGATGATCTTTTGGCCACCTATAGTGACACAGACTTGTCCTTGACCCCTTTTGTGACTTTCATTTGTCCATTTGAGGAGAGTATTGCGTTTAGAGCCAGGACAGGTGGAGGAAGGATATGGCCAGGAGGCAGAGATGACATTTGTGGCTGGGATAACAGAGTATTTGTTGACCTTAGAAAGATCAACTCTAGTTGCTTTTTGGCAAAGATACCACCACTTCTCTCCAAAAGTCAAGAGCATTAGGACAAATGTCTCCAGGAGTTTTGCTCCTGAGAGTGGGCCTAATGGAATCACATGTTCCTCGGCCCAGCCCACAGGCATTTGGAGCTCCTGGAAGGGGTGTGGGCTAGTCTCAGGGAGCCAGCGGTTTATAAGACAGCAGAAACCCTGCCCTGAGCAGAGCCTTCCAGCAGCCAACACAACGAAGGGGGCACTGCTTATGCTGGTCTTGCTGGTGACTGGAGAGCTGAGCTTCAAGACGGGTGATTGTGGGAAGGAGGGAACAGGTGGCCTTTCACACCTTGCCCTCCCCTATGTCCCTCTGTCCTTCCAGATCTCAGAGCAGCTTCTAGGGATTTAGGGGGCATCTGGGAGATCGTCCCCCGGGGGCGTGCAGAAGACCTGAGTGGAGAAAGTGGTGGAGAAAGGGAGGCCTGCAGGTGGCTGAGCACACAGTGGGGAGAATAAGTGGACACAGTGGTGCTTATTTGAAAGCCAGAAGCACAGCAGGCTGGTGTGCTGTGGTCAGGGACAGAGGGGTTGCTTGTTCTGGCCTCCCTCACTGCTCCTTACTTCTGGGAGTGCCCCTTAGAGAGGGCACTCTCTGAGACGTCAGCAGTTCTGGGAGAGGGCACATCTCTGCAGGAAGTGACCCAGGAGACACTGGGGACATGAAGAACCTCCACCCCTCTGACCCTGGCTGCTTTCTAATGAGATGTTTTCAGCAGAAGCTTGCCCTCTTTTCTATGCAGTCTTTGCTACAATTGGCCTTGGAAATAAGCACATAATGGACATTGTCCTCAGTGAGGCCAATGCTACCCAACCCAGAAAAGGCAGCCTTTGAAAAAGTCCAGGAATGCTACAATGAGGGGGGTCTCAAAGCCAAGACGCTGGATACGATCGCCTTGGTAACATCCTCCCCACGCCTGCCCTGCCCACTCCACACGCAGCACACTGTCGTGTGCCACATACTAACAGACCACACATCGTGTGATACACAACACACATGATCTACCAACAATCTGCTCCAACCTTCAGGGCATATAATATGTGACAAAAAGCCACCTGCATGTCCACCCTGTTCTGCCACCGCACCTGTTCCTCTGACACCAATTAGCTTACACACAGTTGGTAAACAGGGGAAGGATAGACATGAGACTCCTGTGCTTGTTTTCCTAGGGGAGCTAACACTGTAGCAGGAGTAGAATTTTTAACGTTTGTCAGCAAAGAAAGTTCTCATTTCAGCTCCTGCACAGGTGGGAGCCCTGTAAGTTCTATCTTTTTTGGTTACAGCCATCATTGTTGTTTGGCAGGCCGGGGCTGGATTCGAACCCGCCAGCTCAGGTGTATGTGGCTGGCGTGTAAGTTCTATCTTATGAATTTTAAAAATGAGAATCTGCCCTTGGATTCCCTTCCCAGGAAGAAGTGAGGCCTGAGCAAGGTCTCACTTGTAAGACTTCTGCTTATTGGCTGGTTTCACTTCTGCTAGTGCCGCCTTAATGGCTACTCTACTAGCCCAGATGGAGTCTCACTTTCATCTCTATTGACTCAGGGTGCAAAAGCCAGAATTTATCCCTATGATTTTGATGCTTGAGGCGGCTTTTAGTTACATGCCACTGCTCACTGGGATTATCCAATATATTTCCTGATGAACGTTTTTTATTTTTATTTTCTTTTTGAGACTGAGTCTTGCTCTGTTGCTTGGGCCAGAGTGCAATGGCATCATCATAACTCACTGCAACCTCAAACTCCTGGGTTCAGGGGATCCTCCTGCCTCAGCCTGCCAAGTAGCTAGGATTATAGGTGCCCACCACGACTTGTGGTTAATTTTTCTATTTTTAGTAGAGACAGGGTCTCACTCTTGCTCAGGCTGGTCTTGAACTCCTGAGCTCAAGTGACTTGTTATTGTTCTTGTCACACAGTTATGTAGATTTTAAATAGTCTGTCTCTCACCCTATTTTCCCAAAAGTGCTCTTATTTTGAGTGTCTGATTATGCAAAATGAGAGGTTTTTCAAGTAACAGAATTCCTTATGCTGATCTATGCACACAGGACACATGAAGCTGTTTACAACATATGTGTACACATTCTACCCATCCATACATCTGACAGACAGGTCTCAGGTGCTTCTCATAAAACCAAGGCTGAGCCACCTTGCTCCTCCCTTGGGCCCAGTCTCCCGTTGCCCTCCAGAACCTTCTCATCTCCTTCCCTCCCTGGCTGGGGTGGTTATTCAGCCTCCCTGCTAACACCTGTGCTCGGGCAATTGAGCAGCCATTCTCATCCTGGCTTGACTGACTGCAGCCCCCTTGCCAGGGTGGGCATTTGGGCCAGAGGTTCTTCTGGGGGTGGAGCTAAGTCACAGAGAGGAACTTTTCATTCTTGTGGATGAGGAGTGGGATGCTGCTGGGTGGGGGTTGGGTAGCCCTGCTGTGGGTTCAGGACCTGACCGTAGTCACCTCTGTCCCCCTTCTCTCCCAGAGCATCCTGACCTTCAGTCCAGAATGCCTCAAATCTGCAGCAAAAGAGCTAGAGGAAGATATTAAAAAGGTAGTTTCCAAATTGAACCCTTTGTCAAGATGAATCTTTGCCACTCATGCCTGATGCGAGCACCATCTTCCTGCCCTGCTCTCCATCCCACCTGAAGCTGGAATCCAGACACCTGTCCCCACCTACTGTTGTCTTTGTTAGGCTGTCCCTAATAAAACACTTGCAGCTCAGCAAGGTGCACCTGGTGTCTGCGTTGTGTGAGGAGCAGAATGTGGCTGAGGGTGAGGAGAGATGACACATGTGGCCACTGAGAACGTGGGAACAGGCCCTGCCACTGACTAGCTGTGTGATCATGGGCAAGCCAGTTTATCTTTCTGAGGCTGTAAAATGTAAAATGAAGACTCAGTAACATACGTCACCCTAGCCTATACGAGTCTGGCAGGATAAAAATGGTGTGAGCGGCTACTGACAGCATTTCTCTGGCTCTGGCCTTTATCATAGTTGCAAAGCTTTAGTCTGTTGTATGGAGGATAATTGTTGAGTAACTCAGGAGGTGACTGGACGGGCTCATCCCAAATCCTCTTGGCCTCCCAGTGTCATTCCCTATTTTCTACTTCTTGGCTAGATGTCTCCTGAGGAGGCTGACCTTCTGCAGGCACGCTTGGTAACACTGCTGCTTGTGAGTTCTGCCATGGGGACCAGGACCCTAAGTAGTCTCAGCCTGGGAAGAGGGACTAAAGGAGTAGATGATGGAAACTCACCATCAAGGAATGCCAGTATCATGGAAAGAGCTCAGGCCTTGAGGTCTTATTTCTAGCTTGGTACAGTGGCTTCCACCTGTAATCGTAGCACTCTGGGAGGCTGAGGTGGGTGGATCCCTTGAGCTCAGGAGTTTGAGATCAGCCTGAGCAAGAGTGAGACCCCATCTTTAAGACAATAGCAGGGCATTGTGGTAGCTGCCCTATAGTCCCACTGAGGCAAGAGGATCCCTTGAGCCCAAGAGTTTGAGGTTGCTGTGAGCTATGACACCATAGCACTCTACCAAGGGTGACAAAGTGAGACTGTCTCAAAAAAAGAAAAATCTTACTTATAGAATGTCCCACCTGGGACACTGCTGTTATCTACCCTCAGTGTCTATTTCCAAAAGCATCAAATGGGTAACTGTGCCATATGATCATCTCAAGAGATACAAAGAAAGCATTTGACAAAATTCAACACTCTTTCATGATTAAAAACCCTCAAAAAACTACGCATAGAAGGAACATGACTCAAATTGTAAAAGCCATGTATGACAAACCCCCAACCAACATCATGCTGAATGGGGAAGAGTTGAAAATATTCCCCCCAAGAACTGGAACAAGACAAGGGTGCCACTGCCATTACTACTATTCGGTATAGCGCTGGAAGTCCTAGCCGGAGCAATCACGCAAGAAAAAGAAACGCAGGGTGTCCAAATAAGGAAGGAGGGGCCAAACTGTCAGTTTGCACTGATGACATCATCTAGTATCTGAAAAACCCCAGACTCTACCAAGAGACTCCCGGAACTGATAAGTAAATATAGCAAAGCTTTAGGTTATAAAATCAATGAATATAAATCAGTAACATTTCTATATACTAGTAACAGTCAAGCTGATAGCCAAATCAAAGCCTTAGTACCATTCACAATAACTACAAAGAAAATAAAATACCTAGGAATATACTTAACAAGGAGATGAAAGATCTCTATATGGAGAACTATGAAATATTTATGAAGGAAATTGCACAGGACACAAACAAATGGAAAAACATATGTTGCTCAAGGATTGGTAGCATCAACATTGCTACAGTGTGTATACTATTCAAAGTGATTGACAGATGCAATGCAAAATACCAATGTCAAATTTCACAGATCTAGACTGAAACAGGGCCCCTCTCTTCACCACTCACAAAAGATGGATAAAAGAAAAGACTTAAATATAAGGTATAAAACCCTAAGAATTCCAGAGGAAAATGTAGGAAAAATGCTTCTGGATATTGGCCTAGGCAAAGAATTTATGACTAAGACCCCAGTGGCAATCACAGCAACAACAGAAATAAACAAATGGGATTTGATTAGACTAAAAAGCTTCTGCACAGCTAAGGAAATAATCAACAGAACAAATAGACTACCTAAAGAATGGGAGAAAATATTCATAAGCATACATCTGATAAAGGGCTAGGATCCAGAATTTACAAAGAACTCAAACAAAGTCGCAAGAAAAACCAAACGAACGCATTAAAAAGTAGGCAAAAGACATGAACAGAAGCTTTTCAAAAGAAGATAGACAAATGCCAACAAACGTATGAAAAAATGCTCAGCATCAGTAAACATCAGGGAAATGCACATGAAAACCACAAGGAGGTAACGCCTTGCTCCAGTTAGAATGGCTTTTATTAAAAAGTCCTGAAACCTCAGGTGTTGGTGTGGATGCAGTTTTAACACTAAAATGTTTGAAAAATTGAAATTTTCAAAAATTCCTTATTTTCACGGCCATAGGAACATGTTTCACATTGTTAAGGTTTTGGGGTGTGTTCGAGTCCAAGGACATTTGAGTTCACTCATCACGTCCATTCTGCCTGCAGTGTTTTCACCGGACAAGATATTCTGCTGTGCTTTCTAGCTGAATTCATTAATTAGGAAGTCAGTGCCCAAGGCCCTGCCACAGTGTCTAAGATTGTTCATGAAGGGACAGGATGTTGATTTTGTTGCAGATGTAGTCTCAGGCTCCAAGGGTAAACAGTTCTTGGGATATGGTTGCCATGGCAATGTTGTTAGGATCATTCTGACAATTACAAACAACACAATTACAAAAATGATAATCCACATCATAATCCTTCTTGCACTTTGGACCATCCATGGCAGTCCTCCCAGTGATTTTCAGCAGGCACAGTAAGGACTCCTGTGCTACGCTCCCAAAATACACTCTGTGCTTTAGTTTACTCTGCCGTGGTCTCCACAAACATCTCAGACAGCACTGAGTGGTGGGTTCTTTTTATCTGAAGATGTATAGAAGTTGGGTTCCCACTCTTATCCCGATGAAAACTTTGTTCAGTGAACTTTATCTCAGCTCGAATTTAATTAGCTGTTTTCTTGATTTCTTTATTCAGATCTTCAAGGTCTTCTTTTATAGTTTCCTTCTGGATTTAGTGAAGGAAGAATGGAATTATACAGAGTTATTTTATGCAGGTAACTTAACTTAGTTCACGTACAAATATTCTAGACTTTTGTCCTCCCCTCAAGATTTATAATTTTGCTTCCTTATAGTATTTTATTTATTTATTTTTTTGAGACAGAGCCTCAAGCTGTCACCCTGGGTAGAGTGCCATGGCATCACAGCTCACAGCAACCTCCAACTCCTGGGCTTAAGTTTACATTTCCTGTATTGCCAAAAGTTAAAACAAGAAATGAGATCTAAATTTCCACACAAATTTGCATCAGATATTTCCAAAGCAAAACTACAATTCCAACAGATATTTTTGGACCTCACTGCAAATGCAAAGGAAATTTCCTTATTTTAAAATCCATTTAACTTGGCTGGGCATCCATAGCTAAGTGGTTAGGGTGCCAGCCACATGCTCCAGGGCTGGTAGGTTTTTTCTTTTCTTTTTTTGTGGAGACAGAGTCTCACCTTATTGCCCTCAGTAGAGTGCTGTGGTGTCACACTGCTCATAGCAACCTCCAACTCCTGGCCTAGGTGATTCTCCTGCCTCAGTCTCCTAAGTAGCTGGGACTACAGGCGCCCGCCACAACGCCCGCCTAGTTTTTGGTTGTAGTTTGTCAGGGGCCGGGTTTGAACCCACTACCCTCGGTATATGGGGCCAGCACCCCACCCACTGAGCCACAGGTGCCGCCCAGGCTGGTGGGTTTGAACTTGGCCCAGGCCTGCTAAACAAAACAGAAACAAAAACAAAATAGCCAGGCGTTGTGGTAGGCGCCTGTAGTCCCAGCTCCTAGGGAGGCTGAGGCAAAAGAATCACTTGAGCCCAGGAGTTTGAGGCTGCTGTGAGCTATGACACCGAAGCTTTACAGAGGGTGAAAAATTGAGACTGTGTCTCAATTAAGAAAAATAAATAAATAAATCCATTTAACTGTGTGAGAAATGACATACTAAAAAGTAAATATCAAAAGAAAAGTCTAATGGCCTTCTACAAAAGCCATGCTAGTGATCAATATACTCTATTTAAATCACATCTTTGGTTTGGCACCCATAGCACAGTGGTTACGGCACCAGCCACATACACCGAGGCTGGTGGGTTAGGACCCAGCACAGGCTGCAACAAAAAAATAACCGGGCGTTGTGACAGGTGCCTGTAGTCCCAGCTACTTAGGAGGCTGAGGCAAGAGAATCGCTTGAGCCCCCCCCAAAAAAACAAAAAAGAAAAGAAAAGTTGAAGATTTTACATTTTTGGTGTTTACCTGGAAAGAGTTGAAACACATTTTTTTTTTTTTTTGACAGAGTCTCAAACTGTGTTGCCCTTGGTAGAGTGCCATGGTGTCACAACTCACAGCAACCTTAAACTCTTGGGCTTAAGTGATTCTCTTGCCTCAGCCTCCCAACTAATTGGGACTACAGGCGCCCGCTACAGTGCCTGGCTATTTGTTGTTGTTGTTGTTGCTGTTGCAGTTGCCATTGTTTAGCTGGCCTGGGCTGGGTTCGAACCCACCAGCCCTGGTGTATGTGGTTGGTGCCCTAACCACTGATCTACGGGTGCTGAGCCTATTATTACATTTTGAATAGTTTGGAAACTTGTTTTATGACTTGTTATATAAGTTTGAAAGTGTGATCTGATGAAATTTTAGGTACTGGGAACTAGTGCAGAAGACAGAACTGACCAGAGGCAGCGAGATGTGTGGGAACTAGTTAGGAGTCTGTTGGGATCATAGTGGAGAGAGATAATCGTTTTTTTTTTTTTTTGCAGTTTTTGCCGGGGGCCAGGTTTAAGCCCACCACCTCCGGTATATGGGGCTGGTGCCCTGCTCCTTTGAGCCACAAGCGCTGCCCCGAGAGATAATAGTTTTGACTAATGCATTGGTCATATAGCTGAAGAAAGTTTTGGAAGTGATGGATTTAGGAGAATCGCATGATATACACAGAGCTGGACTTGAGAATGGCTGGATGTTGGGTATGATGGAGACAGATGTTGAGGAGTTGCCTAAGTTACTTCTGACCTTGTCAATCTCTTGAATGTCCGTCTTTCACTAAAACTAGAGAGCATAAAGAGGTAGGAAAATCATGAGTTCTTTAACAGGCATATTGTGTTTGTGGTGCCTTTGATATATTCAAGTGACCTGAGGAAGCTTCCTAAAATCTCTCTCTCTCTTTTTTTTTTTTGAGACAGAGTCTCACTATGTTGCTCTTGGTAGAGTGCCGTGGCATCACAGCTCACAGCAACCTGAAACTCTTGGGCTCAAGCAATTCTCATGCCTCAGCCTCCCCTAAAATCTCTTTTCAAGGACAGAGTGACAAAGATAACTAATAAAAAAGGTTAACCAATATAAAAAGTTTACAGCAAAGCAAAATGAGTGAAGAATATTTTTTTTTTTGAGACAGAGCCTCAAGCTGTCCCCCTGGGTAGAGTGCTATGGCATCACAGCTCACAGCAACCTCCAACTCCTGGACTCAAGCGAGTCTCCTGCCTCCGCCTCCCAAGTAGCTGGGACCACAGGTACCCGCCACAACGCCTGGGTATTTTTTGGTTGCAGCCGTCATTGTTGTTTGGCGGGTCCAGGCTGGGGATTCGAACCTGCCACCTTAAGTGTCTGTGGCTGGCACCTTAGCCATTTGAGCCACAGGTGCCAAGCCATGAGTGAAGAATTTAAAAATCAATTTATAAAGGGATTCATAGAATCTTCAGTTGTTAGTATTATCAAATACATGTTATGAGCAAGCATGCCTACTATGGTAAAAAATCTTTGATAAACTGAAATTTTAAAAAGTCCCCAGGAGAGGGAATTATGAATGGGAAATCAGAATAATAACTCAGAATGCAACAGAGAGATTAATAGATGTAAATTACAGACAATTTAAGACAACTGGATGATTCAGAGTGCCAAGACCTGTCTTATAGCTAATTGGAGTCCACCAAGGAGAGAATAGGCAACAAGCACGAATAACATACGAGGAAAGAAGAGTTTGCTGAGCACAGGAAGATGGCATTTCTCAGATTCAAGTTGTTCAACAAATCCCAAGCAGAAAAAAAATTAAGACTTTTGTACCCGTTGTGGCGGGTACCTGTAGTCCCAGCTACTCTGGAGGTTGAGACAGGAGAATCGCTCCAGCCCAAGATTTAGAGGTTGCTGTGACGCCAGGGCACTCTACCGGGACAACAAAGTCAGATTCTGCCTCAAAAACAAAAACAACAACAAAAAAGCCACAAAGAGTCACAATTTCACACTTGGTAGACTCACAAAATTTGAAAGTTTCACAAAATAAAGTGTTTGCACTAACAGTTAACAACCAAAATAACTATAAGCTCTAGTAGGAGCATGCATTAATACATTATGGAAAACAATTTGTCATTGTAAAACAAAGATGCTTATGAGAACATACTTTGTGCAGGCAAGTCTTTCCTTACTGAGAGGAAACCAGCTGATGCCATAATGTTTTTTTTTTTTTTTTTGCAGTTTTTGGCCGGAGTTGGGCTTGAACCCACCACCTCCAGCATATGGGGCTGGTGCCCTACTCCTTGGAGCCACAGGCTCCACCCATAATGTTTTTTTTTTTTTAAGACTATGGCTGCCGCAGAAGTTAACCACCACACTCACACGATCTACAAGTGTGTAGATGAAGTGATGTAGAAGCACCACCTAGCGAGTATCATGCACGTTAAGTACTTGACGTGGACAAGAAAATTGATACCCTACTATTTATAATTTAAAAAATAAGTAAAATAGACCAGGCATGGTGGCTCACACCTGTAATCCCAACATTCTTGGGAGGCCGAGGCGGGTGAATCTCTTGAGCTTAAGAATTTAATGGAGACCAGCCTGAGCAAGAGTGAGACCCGTCTTTACAAAAAATAGAGAAACTAGCCGGGCGTCCTGTAGGTCCCAGCTACCAGAGAGACTGAGGGAGGAGGATCGCTTGAGCCCAAGAATTTGAGGTTGCTGTGAGCAGAGATGAAAGGCAGACCCCTGTGCAGTGCAGGGTCACCAGAAAGTGTCAAAAGGGAAGAACATCCTCAGCAAAGGAAAAAGCATGTACCAAAAAAATAGGGTGACCAGATGTCCCGCTTTTTAACAATTTGTCACGCATCCCGCGTTTTAAAAAAGGCCTGATTTTTGGAAAGAATGCACGACTGGGCGGGAGAACAGGAAGGAAATGTATGGTTTTCGGCTGCCATGTGGCTATTTCGCCAGAATATGAGTTTTGTATTATTTTTGTTAATTTTATAATGTTAAACTATAATAAATAATTGTTGAGAAGTGATTATCGAGAACTGCTTATCAAAGTTTGCATTGTTGTCAGGCCCTGCCCTGCCCCCTGGCCATGTTGTCCAGCTTTACAAATGTTAAAATCTGGTCACCCTAACCAAAAAGGCCATACCACCCTGAATGCGCCCGATCTCGTCTGATCTCAGACGTTAAGCAGGGTCGGGCCTGGATAATACTTGGATGAGAAGACTGCCTGGGAATACGGGAGAAGTGGGGGAAGTGGGGGAAGGAGGGAAGGAGGGAAGGAGGGAAGGACTGGAGGGAAGGAGGCCTGGCTGGGCACTATGGCTTACGCCTGTAATCCCAACACTCTGGGAGGCCGAGGAGGGTGGATAGTTGGATCTCACGAGTTCTAGACCAGCCTGAGCAAGAGCCAGACCCTGTGTCTACTAAAAACAGAAACACTTCAGCGCCTGTGGCTCAAGCGGCTAAGGCGCCAGCCACATACACCTGAGCTGGCGGGTTCCAATCCCCAGCCCGGGCCGCCAAACAACAATGATGGCTGCAACCAAAAAATGGCCGGGCGTTGTGGCGGGCACCTGTAGTCCCAGCTACTTGGGAGGCTGAGGCAGGAGACTCGCTTGAGCCCAGGAGTTGGAGGTTGCTGTGAGCTGTGATGCCATGGCACTCTATCCAGGGGGATAGCTTGAGGCTCCGTCTCAAAAACAACAACAACAACAACAACAACAACAACAACAAAAAACCCAGAAACGCTAGCAGGGGCGTGGTGGCGGGCACCTGTAGTCCCAGCTACTCGGGAGGCTCTCTAGAGCCCAAGAGTCTGAGGTTGATGTGAGCTAAGATGATACCACAGCACTCTCCCCAGGGCGACAGAGTGAGACTGTGTCTAAATAAATAATCAAACAAATAAGTAATAAAATAGAATAAAAATAAGTAAAATAAATTGCAGGGTACCAGCAAGGCCAGCCCACATCCCGGCAGGAGATTCAATTTGTGAGAGCACGGATGACCCGGAAGACCTAGTCGCGGCCGCGTAATTTTCTGGAAAGTGTAGTTTTGTGGCCCGGGAGCCCTGTCCTTACAATGCCAGTACGGGCTGCCCTTGGTTCTGGGAAGGATACTTCGCCAGAAGACCACGGCGTGCGCACCCTGGCTCCCGGCGGGGTAACTTCTCAGGAAGCCGAGCCCGTTTTCCTGGCGGGCCGCCAAGTCGGGGCCGCCATGTCGGCGCCGCCGCGGGGACTCCTGGGAAGTGTGGTCTTCCGCGGGGCTGTGGTGCTACGGTCAGTTCCTTCTGTCCTGGAGGCGGAGGAGTCTGGGAAATGTCACTCGGTCGTGGGCATCGCTCCTGGTTCGTCCTCCTGAAATCTCGGGCCTGAGAGCGGGTTCCTAGCTCTGGAAGGACCCCGGGCAGTGTAATTCCCGGAGTCCCAGCCGGTGGCCCGCTCGCCAGCGACGCAGCGCATCAGGTAGGCGGAGGCGCCCGCTCCGGACGTCCCCGGGCCTCGGGGCCAGTGAGGTCCTGCCGCGGAATCGCCAGGTGGGGGTCCCGGGGGACTCCGGCCGGGGAAGCTTGGCTGGTCCCGGGGCCTACGCCTCGGTGTGTCCTCGGCCGGGGCGTCGGTGCCCTGCGCTGTAAGGAGGGAAGAGCGACGGTGCTTCGCTTTGACAGCCGTTGCAAAAGCGAGTGAGTGTCGGTGAGCACTTACCCAAAGCAAACGCCCCCGACGAGGGTTTTCACGTTATCTAGCCAAGAAGCTGACGCTTTCCAGTTGTGTAACTTGAAGAGATAGATGGTCTCAGTGTCTCCGAATGTCAGTTTCGTCATTAAAAAAAAGTAATCTGAGATAATGAGAAGGTCCCCCATTTATAGTGGTGAAGATTGAACAAGCGGATATTTAAAATTATTACTATTGCTTATGAGTCTGTCTTTGAGTACAGAAGAGTTGATGTTCCCCGCAGGTGGCACTTGGTATAACGGTCAGTTAGGTCATGCCAAGAAGCGCCCTGTTGAAGTGAAGGGAAAGGTTGGAACTCAGATTACCATTGTGCTTTTCCTTTGTGGTGTATCGCAGAGCTGACGATAAGTCCGGTTTCTCACGGCTGCTTTTTCCTACCCTTACTATGCCTTCTCAGGACACTGCCCCTTTATAATTCAAGAGCCCGGAAGAGGACTGCATTGACTGTCGTGAATCGCAAAGTAATGTCTCAGGTAAGTCGGTTTGTCCCCATGTCTTCCTGAAACTCCTATTAGGACTCTTTGAGTTTTCTTCTCCTGCCTGTTCCTGCCTAAGAAAGCCCTAAATGGGACTGGTTCTATGGTTCTTTTCATTATAGGAAAGGACAGAACCCACAGGAAAGCCCCAAAGTACTGTCCTCCTCACTCACTACTCTTTTCTACAGTTTTCGGCTGGAAGATTCTCTAGAGTTCTGAGTAAAAAAAAAAAATTTTTTTTTGAGACAGAGTCTTACCCTGTTGCCCTGGCTAGAGTGCCGTGTCATCATCATAACTCACAGTAACCTCAAACTCCTAGGCTCACGCTATCCTCTTCCCTCAGCCTCCCTAGTATCTGGAATAGGCGTCCTCAAACTGCGGCCTGCTGAGGACATTTATCCGGCCTGCCAGGTGTTTTTGCCGCAGCTACCTGTCCTATTTAGCAGCTGACTTGTCCCGGGCGCAGTCTGGCCCTCAAACGGTCTGAGGGACAGTGAACTGGCCCCCTGTTTAAAAAGTTTGAGGACCCCTGATCTGGAAGTACAGGCACCTGGCTCAATGCCTGCCTAGTTTTTCTATTTTTATTTATTTATTTATTTTGAGACAGAGTCACAGCATGTCACCCTTGGTAGAGTGCCATGGTGTCACAGCTCACAGCAACCTCAAACTCTTGAGCTCTTGCCTCAGCCTCCTAAGTAGCTGGGACTACAGGTGCCCACCACAACTCCTGGCTATTTTTGTTGTTGTTGTAGTTGTCATTGTTTAGCAGGCCTGGGCTGGGTTCGAACTCCCCAGCCCCGGTGTATGTAAATGGCACTCTAGCCACCAAGCCTAGTTTTTCTATTTTTAGTAGAGATGAGGTCTTGTTCTTGGTCAGGCTGGTCTGTAACTCCTGAGCTCAAGGGATCCACCCTCTTTGGCCTCCCAGAGTGCTAGGATTATAGGCATCAGTCACCGTGCCTAGCCCACATTTTTAAAATTACAACTCAAAATGCAAGTTTGGAATTTTATAATAGATTTTTTTTTTATGGTTGTCAAGACCATATTATCTGGTCTCAATTCCTCCAGTTGCTCAAGTCAAGAGATGTCTGGAGTTGTCCTTAATCCTTCCCTTTCACTTAAACTCGCATTCATATGTTCTAGTTAGATCTAAAATGTATATAGAATATATATAGAATCTAACCAGTAGTTACCCTGTAGCCTCCACCACTGCTGCCATCCCACTCTAGGCACCTGCATCATCACAGTAGCCTTGCTGGATTCCCTGCCTCTGCCTTTAACCCTCTTCAGTGTGTTCTCCATACATCTGCCAGAGTGAACTGTTACATAAATTCCTGTCATTTCTCAACTTAAAATTTTTCAGTGGCCCTAACTTAGAATAGAAGTCATAGTTCTGTAATGACCTATAAAGCTTTTGTGCAGTTAGACTAGTACCTCTCTGATCACACCTTCCTCCTCTGCCTCTTTGTTCTTGTGTGCTCCAGCCACCCCCTCTAGGCCCTGGAAGTTGCTGTACTGTCTGCTGGGAATATTTTCCCCTAGGTTTGCACAAGCTTACATTCTTATCTTCTTCATATCTTTCCTCTGTGGTTATTTTCTCAGCAGATCTTCCCTGAACACCTATTTAAAATTACAGTCACCTTCCATTGCCTATTCCTCCCCCTCCTGCGTCACTGCTTCCTTGGTTTCCATAGCACTTATCACCTACCAGCTGACCGCTCTGTTTAGGGTATGCACGCGCTCAGCACTTATCACCTACCAGCTGACCGCTCTGTTTAGTATATGCATGCGCTCAGCACTTATCACCTACCAGCTGA